TCATATGATCATAATATTAATGGAGGATGTACTATAAGATTTTATAAAGAAAGTACATTAAATTAAAAAGATAAAATTGTATCATTTATAATTAATTATTTATTTCTTTTTTGGTCCTAAAAAATCTGTATATATATATATATATATATAGGATTATACTATTCAATAAAAAACATCAACAAAGAATATTCTTAACTCAGAAGTGAGAGTTTGGATAGTATTCATGACATTAATAGTAAGAGAGAGAGTGACGTTAGGAATTGGCTACAGTAAAAAAAAAAAAAAAATGGGATTTCACATAAGAGCTTCTCACAGTGAACCAACCTGACCCTTCATCTCTAAACCAGCCCAACTGTTCATCTTCTTCCTCCATCTGATGCCATTTATAGCTGAAACATCATTTCGGCAACAATAACAACAATTGGAAAGAATTTTATGTACCATTTGGTGTTTATAAATAAAGTATTGTAAAGCTAAAGAAAGCATGTAATCTTTTGGAAATGAATTTCAAATAAAATTATCTTTTCTTTACCCCCAATCTTTATCTCTCTTCTCTGTTTATCCTTCTTTTTTTCCCTTTTTTTTCTCTCTCTAAAATCAGTCTTTGTCTCTCTCTAAAATATTCTCTCTTTCACACATCTGTATTATATCTCTTTCCCTCTCTAAAGACTTTTCTCTCTCTCTCTCTCTCTCTCTCTCTCAGACTCTCTTCTTCTCTCTCTTCTCGACACCCTCTCTTCTCTCCTTTCAAAAATCTTCTTTTTTCTTTTCTAAAATTCTCATTTTGCCCACACTATTTTCTTAATTTCACTCTGCCCCAATCTTTCGAATTTCTTAAAACTACCCACAAATATTTAAACTACACATTTTTTTTTTTTTTTAAATTCGGATTTAGTGAATTAAATTTCAAAGCTGAGTCTTCACAAGTGACAAACCAGGTAATTGCTCGGTACAAATATCCTTGTCTCATTCAACTTCTCCTTGTTTTTTTGCTACTAACTTTTCATCTTGATGCGTTAGTTGTCCGTGAGAGAGGAGACCAACAAGACTCTTCCTCTCAAACACTTCAACCTACAAAACTATTCTGCAGCTTTTTTCATTTCTTTTGCATGTTTTATGGAGTTCATGAATCTTGGGATATTCTTGTTTCAAATCAATACTTCTAATATTTGTAGTTTTAACAAAATAAATTAATTATTTTTATTAAATTTTAAAATTGACTCCTAATTGCTATAATTATTAAAACAAGAAATAAAATAAAATAATACGAAAAAAATTTTATTGTTTTGAAAAATTTATTCTTACAATAGTTTGATAATTCACCTTTATAGAGGTACTCTAAATTCAAAATTTATCTTAGATAATTTACGATTACAGAAAATTGTCATATGAATGTCAGTCAAAAATTAAAATAATAATTTACTACTAACATTAACTGTATAATGTTGAAGAACTAGTGTCGCGTGATTCACAATATTTAGCTCCACTGCATCAAAGGAAAAGCAATCTATTTGATTCAGATAAAAACACAACATTGATACCTGAATCTTAAAATAGGCCAACCAATATTATTGTTGTTATTAGGGAATAAGGTACAAGCTACAAGGCTTATGGGTGTTAAATAAGATACCACATAGACAGAAATACATAACCATTCTACTGCCATGACAAAATTACAGTGAACAGTCAGATAAATATTACTAAGTCCAGAACTCTGTCATAATCACAGGTTATACCGATCTTTACAGTCTATAAATGCTTACACAGGTACAAACACCTATACCACGCCATCTAAGTTGGGAGATAAAAGAGGACTTCAGCTTGCTCCGTAGTCCAACATTTCCCACCTGAAGGGACGGAACACATACAGAACTTCAGGGCAGCTTTTAAATATAAGAGCGACACACACGCAAACTGCAGCAATGGCCACCATTGAGAGCATTGCAGGCCTGTACACCAGAGATCTGCTGGCTGTTCCGTAAGCCAGCTTCTGGCTGCAAAGCTTGCAGTTTCCTCCGATGGATGTAAAATCAGCCTGTCCAATCTCAAAGCTGGTTGTCAACGCAGAACTTTGTTTCTGGCTTACATTACAGTCTGAGAGAGGAGCAGGAACGTCAACAACCACATGGCCAGCCGCAGATCTCTTATTAATTTTCCTCTGTACCAGGTGGATGTATGAGAAGTGGCCTCGCAAACGAGCATAATCTTCAGGGGTGAAGCCTGTGCTGTCACGGGCACTCTTCCATGCTTCAATTCCCACCTGAGATAGACACACACCAATTAGCATGTTTGTGGAGAAATTTCACGAAGTGTTCTGTTTTTAACTTTTCTCACATTCATGTCTTTGTTCAGAAAACTTTCTGCAATTGTATCTGATATTATAAACACAAATGGAAACAACAAACAAGGAATTCCGCACTACTGGTTACCTATTTGTCTGCAAAAAATTACCATCAACACAAGGAGAATAAAAAGTTGGGTTAGAAAGTTTGACTTAAGTCTGAAAACATCAAGTACCTTACTCTGGAAATAAAATATGCGAGAACATAATACTTGCAGAAAGAATCTTTCCACAAATAAAATTTAATTATAGAGGCTATAAATATTGATCAGTGATCCTAATGGTTGACTCATGTTCTAACCACAAATTGTTTAAATCACTGCTGATTTCCGATTAAAAAAATTAAGGAAGCAACTTGATAGGAATTCCAGACACTGAATAAAGATTGGAAATAAGCATGGACCGGGACTGTTTCCAGATTGAGTAGCACGGTTAAACAAAGAAAAGTGAATTTTAATCGATGTTGTAAAGAAAATTCGTGAAAAATAAGACGAATTACCATTCCAGGATCTTCAGTTAATGCATCAAGTACGTCCTCAGAACCATCTTTCCCAGCTGCAATGTGAAGAGGTGTCAAACCAGCAGGGCCTATGGCATCAGGTTTAAATAACAAACTCTGGTGACCAGCGTCTACCAGTTCCTTCTGCTTAGACCCCAAGTCCTCTAGAGCATTCTCAGGAACATATCTCAATAGGAGTTCCACCAAAGATTTGCAATTTTTTCTCACAGCTCTATGAAGAAGACACATATCAGATAATGCAAGCTGGACCGTCTGGTGTTCTCCAGCAGCCACAGTACCATCAAAAAAGATATTTAGGAGTTTCTTCACAACAGCACACCATTCATGGCCCATAGAGAATTCCATGAGCCACTTGAAACGCCTTAAAGGAAAAAGGTCAGTATTAGGATCTAAGTGGACCAGTCTATGCTTCACTTGACTTCTATGAAGTAGCCAACCGATTTCATGAATGAAATCCATTGCTTGATTCCTGGCTTCAATTTTTCCAGTTTCCCCAACATCAGCATCTGTCCCAGTAAACTCTAATGCATTTTCAAGCATACGGATCTCTGAACAAACATCGTCTTCCGCGACTATAAAAGGAAAGAAACTGCTGCTAAGACTGTGATCTTCGATCTGGATATCATGCAATCAACTTAAAGAAAGTTATTCAAGAATTTGTCCATCTTTGATAATAAACAGTCAACTGTTAACATATGCATATCAGAACATTGATAAAT